ATTCATGGAAGTTAAATGATGAATACCTTGCTTTGTGGAATTTGCAAATTGTTTTTCTATTTAACGCTTTGATTACTAGGGACTAGTAATAAGCTGGTTGGGGAGTGTGATTAGTACTTAAAAGTGCATTTTTATCAAGGTTTTATATCATCATTTTGCACTTGAAGTATCAATAACTCCTTAACTAAAATATGTTTTATAATAATGTATCTAATAATATAAGATACCTATAATTTGTGGTAAATGTCTATTTTTAATGCAGGCCTATCACATAAATGAAAGGATTGATTGATGACTTGAAGAACTTAAATTGCAAGGATAAAGAGATGGCCAAACTTAGAAAAGAGATGTCGGTGTAATCCAAACCGCAACACTGTTCGGTAATTGGATCATATCTGGAGTTGTAGATCTCAGATTTAGGTCCAGTTTATATGGATGGAAAGGTAAGACATAGGCCTACAACTTGCCTATGGAGCCTAAGATCTAGAAAGGTCATTTTCAAGTTCAAATTGTAGCAACAATAAAGAAGCCCGAATCTGTCCTCCAGCCCAAGCACTGTTCAGTATTTTGGCCATATCTAGAGTTCTAGAAGTCCAAATGAGCTGAATGTTTTACACAAGACAGCTGAGACAATTGTCTACAACTTTCATGTTTGCAAGTGGTTCCAATTTGGACGTTATCAATGACGTTTTGGGCAGACAAGAGAAGATAAGGATTGTCACCAAGTCAAAAGTTGGCCACCCACTTATCAATTAGTCATCAAATCAATAGTTCCCAATTTTGGCCTATAAAAGGAGGCATTTGCCATGTATTTAGGCATCTTGGTTTCCAGATCAAGATCATGCTCTTCCTTTCTCTCTTTGTATTTTTTGTAATGTTTATGCTTTACTTTCATTAATATCAAGTTTATGTCTTTCATTTCCTTTTCTTTACTTAGTTAATTTTTATGTTCTTATTTTGTTTATCTATTTTACTTTCTTTCATTATGTCTAGCTAAGTTAGTTATGTCAAGGTGAGAAGGTTACACTAATGGTGTAAGAATAAGTATAATGTAAACTTAATATGGACTTTAATGTTTGCTATTAACATGTTTTATATTTGTTATCTTGTTCACTCTTTAATACTTTGCTTGTTAAATGACTAATCTTGATTTATGTTGTATAACACTTGGTACAACAAATGCTTGGCACTTTCATAGCCCATAATGTATGGTATAACCGACACCTGAGCTATGAAAGGAACTTGATTTATTGTTAACATAAGTTATAATCATGAATGCTTGACGAGATTTACAAGTATTAGCATTAATTGAATAAGATGACTAATGTAATCATGTTAACAATATATAATCTGATTAGAACCTCCTTTGTGTGTGGTTTCCAATTCAATAATAAGAGTTTATACTATACTTGTTTGATATACCATTAGTGGAACCTCTAACCTTGACATTTGTTATTATTATTGCTTAATCCTTACATTAATATTTCATCTCTAAGTTCTCATCATCATCATCTTCTTCTTCTTCTCTTTCTTTATTATTATTATTATTATTATTATTATTATTATTATTATTATTACTATTACTACTACTACTACTACTACTACTACTACTACTACTACTACTACTACTACTACTACTACTACTACTACTACTACTACTACTACTACTACTACTACTACTACTACTACTACTACTACTACTACTACTACTACTACTACTACTACTACTACTACTACTA